ACCGATTTACAAGATAGGTCATAGATCCTCTTGTGAAAACCATAGAGAAATTAGTTTAATCAACATCGTCTCTAAACTTCTCGCTGGCATCATACTCCGCGGATTGTCTGCCGCATGCGAACGGTGCACGCGTGAGAACCAGGCTGGTTTTAGACCCGATCGAGGTTGTATCGACCACATCTTCACTCTGAGCAAAATTCTGGAGCACCGGCATTCTTTTCGTAGACCCACCATGTCTTCCTAGATCTGAAAGCGGCTTTCGACTCAGTTGACCGCTCTAAACTCTGGCGCTGCCTTTTTCTGAAAGGTATGCCCGAGAAGTTAATTTCGATATTACAATCGCTTCATACTAATAGCCGAAATCGAGTCCTGTCCTACGGCACTTTTTCGCCCGAGTTCACCACGGAAAGTGGTGTTCGTCAGGGTTGCCCTCTCTCTCCATTTCTATTTAACTTTGCTATAGATCTGATTATGGGAACAGCCCTATCCTCGTGCGAGGATAGTGGCATCGATTCCATGCTCTCAAGCCATTTGGTGAAACAGCTCGATCATGCCGAAGCGGGTAACCACTCTTCAACCAGTTGAATGATGGTGTCCATCACACTTGTTGACTCGTGTCGCATTCCAGGCATCATGCGCTGGATATTTGGGAACACCAAAATGTCACACTGAGCCAGGTCTGGACTGTAGGGTGGGTGACCAAACTCCTGGATGCGTTCTCTGGCCGACGACATGGGACCAGAGTGAAGGTTTTATGTCATGGTGTAACAGCTTTCAGCACTTTACCATTTGGTTCTGAGTGATGCAATCGTTGAACAGTAGCTTCACAACACATAGATTACACCTGACGTTTTCCCGGGTCCGGTCATCGATCGATCTGCACCTCGTCCTCGTAGTGTACTGCGCTTTTTCTTTGCTTTTCTTTTTGCTCAACCCGCACGTATTTATACGTACAGACCATCAAGGGACAGCTCATTTCATTCGGATCAGAGAATTACGTTTCGCTTCGGAGTGACACAAAGCCGGGTGTGTCACAAATGCGTTGGAATTTGACCACACAGATAAAAGAAACGGGCGATTTAATGCGCCGGGGGGAGGGGCATGCACAGAGTGCAGAGATCCCGGACAAACCAACCGATTTTGGGGAGTTGACGGTGAGGGGGTGCACCACCGGGGATGAATAGTTAACGAACTTTGATGGAAATTAGAGATGATTCAGTATTTTTTTCCGGTCCTGGGCAACCGTAAATCAATTTGCCGCGAACGGACAAACAGAGACCCGGGGGGAATGAACAAGCATACGGACAAACAAATTGTTACGCCATCTACATCGATGACGAACAAACCGGCGAAATGCGGATCCAAATTGGACCGGAATCGATCAAAAACACAGAGAAATATTGGAACGCAGCACTAAGGAGAAAGCGAGAGACTGTGGAATAAATAGTGAAAAATTTTATGAGGAATTTATTTCTCCACGTAAATACAATGAATGAGAGAGAGAGAGGATGAGCGAGGTCCAAAGAAAGCCAGCGAATAGAAAATATCAAGATAAAACAACGAATCTGCTCAACAACAAAAAATACCTGGATCGATAGCACATACGCAGATATGTGAAACAGAGGGAAACAGAGTGAAATACAGAAAAACAGAGTTAACCTCGCGCAATATCGCAGGTGGATGGTGAAACAATCAGCCTGTCCAGACAGGACGGATATGGGTCGGCGAGTCATCTCCGCGTTGCGTGTTAAAAGTCATCTAACTGAAACGGAACGGAAGTTGCGCAAATATTTACAAACCTATGTGTACTAACTAGCCACAGAACAATAAATACGCATTTGCGGATAAGCGCACAGAGAAACAATAAAAAATAAACTCATGGATTAGAAGTAGAAAGAAGATTTCAAAGGGCAACTCTGTCGTGTGAACTGAAAAGCTAGGAAATACTGCACAGCAGTGCGCGAATCCATCGTGCAAATGCGAAGCCAAAAACGGTCTGATCAGCTGCCCCGGGGTGGTCGAGTGAGTAGCATGCTTACGCTTCGCCTGTGACATCTTGGGTTTGCTATCCTCAGTTCGATGGATTCGCAGTGCACTGATGAGACCGAACCAGGTCGAAACAGCTGTCCAGTTGTTCCAAGTGTTTTAGTTCACGCTTCATTTGCTATATACACGACGAATTCCAATTTGAAATTGAATAAAATTCTCCATTGTACTATTGCAAAAAATAATCTTGATTGGGTTACGTAACATTACGCGATGAACAGCAGAACAGATGAACATCAGAGCCACAAAGATGATTCAATTTGATTCATCGTAACCGGCAACCTGGGACTTGGAGTGGTAAATCAGTTAGTTATTCCATTCGAGCAAGCTTTATCTCTCTCTGAGTGGTAGTGAAGCTGTAACGCTTGACAACGGCGCCGGTAATACTTCATCGTGGGTGCTTGTATCTCACTGAACCCTTTTGGTTCGTGGCGTTTTGTTTGCTTTGCGATGCAGATTTACCTATAACCCCGATCCACGGAAGACTTGTGTGTCAACGTTTCCTTGCCATCCACATGTCCCGCCACTCTATCGCTGTAGTTTGGCGTTTTCGTATCGTCTCCAGCTGCGCGAATACGAACCGAGGGACATCCTGCCGCGCATCTCTGAACACCGCTGCACTGCCAGAACCCGGAATGTACGTTCGCATTACAAAGCTTTCTCTCTCTCTCTCACACACACACACCGTAAACTGTACCCAGCTCGCATTCACGTCGCCCATTTAATGGATGTAAGTATGAAGTGTTTCAATTATGAGAGTCCGCAGCAAACAACTCATCGGTACCCAAAAGAAGGATACATGGTGTCGAATACTGGAAAACAGATCGACAAACAGTAACTTGGTGGGTTCCCCGATTTGTGTTTCTCATTTGTTCTTAAGACTACTAACCCCCTAGGGTCGAAGATTGAGAAAACTGAGAGCCGTAGTAAACCAAAGATACAAACATGCGGTTGTACAGCAGCAGAATCAGTTTCAGTTTTTACAACCATTAACTTTTCCTAGGCCCTGTGTACCAAACTAAATTCATCAGATGACCTTCCATTTTCTCCAATACACACAAAAATTGCATGGTCAACTTTCAGCCAACCAACGGGGAAATCTGGGAAAAGGGGAAGGTAGTCATGATCCAGCTCGAACGCAAGGAAAGACATGAGCCAGTGTTGCCCAAAGGCAAAGCCGCTCCTCGAGACATTTTCGGATATTCAATCCAACACTGTCCTTGCCGAGCTATTAAAAAAAACAATATGTAAAACCGGTTTAAGCTGACCGCAATCAGTGGTTCGCAAAAAAAACACCTACTCAAGCGAACAACTCTAACGGGTGTGTTTCACTTCGGTCGCGGAAAATGACGAAATTCCCAGTTCAAATTAGAAGCCAATCTGACGACACAAACATCAGATGCAAATTAGAAAGGAAATATAGCGCGAATGCGCGTGGTCCCAGAAACCGATCCCGCATTGTGGTACGAGTTAGAAGCACATTCTCGGGGAAACAACACTGGTAAAAAGTAAAAAGTAAAACTATTGACGAAAAGTAAGAAAAATCGGAAGTTGGAACGTACAAGGTCTTTGACCACGAGATTTCGGGACGACTCGATAGCACATTTGCTGGTGTCTCGTTCTTCCGGCGCCTGAGACCACGGGCAAGTGTTTGCTTCATTCGCCTGTGCCTGAGTGACACCAATGTCTGGGACTTCGTCGTCCGTGATCAAACCGAAACCTAAGAAAAAAGTGAAACAGCGTGATTTGAGCAAAGTGATAGAACAGACACCACACCGAAACGGTAGGGGAGTTTCATTTCCCATGGGATGATGGAGGGAACGGAGTAGAGGAGATCAATACCAAGGTCAGGTGACCGACTGCATAAAAGTAGAGGGGATGAAACGAAATTCTCTCAGTCGGGAGGTGGGGGGGGAGTACTGTGGATGTGTGAAGACCGAAAGATATGCAAAAGAAGCGTAGATCAAATAAGTGCTCTGGGGCAGACGATGACAGTAAGTCTTTTACATGCGAAAGGGATTGAAAGGTAAACCAACGGTTAGTAGAAATTACAGGTGCAAGTCTCCTCCCCCACCCCCCTTTCAACAAGAGTAGCGGTTTACATACCGAGCAAAGTAAACACCCAGCTGGTGAGCTAGTGAACAAGGGAAGGAAACTAACTAACACCGATGGAT